TTTTTTTTTTTTTTTGCTGGTTGATTTCTTGATGATAGCCATTCTTTCTGGGGTGAGACGGAATCTCAGTGTTTTAATTTGCATCTCTCAAATGACCGGTGGTGTTGAACATTTTTCTATATATTTATTTGCCATTTCTATTTCTGCATCTGAGACGTGTTTATTCATTTCAGATTTTTGAATTGGTTCTTTAAATTTGGGGGTCTGATTTTTTTTCATTTCTTTGTATGCTCTAGATATTATTCCTTTGTCTGAAGAACAATTGCCTAAAATTTTTTTTCGCACTCTGTGGGTTGTCTTTTCACTCGGTTGGTGGTTTCTTTTGCTGTACAAAAGCTTTTTGTGTGTGTGTGTGTACAGGGAATCAAACTCAGAACCGCACGCTTGCCAGGCAGGCGCTGTGCCACTGAGCTATATCCCCAGCCCACAAAAACTTTTTAATAGGATGAGAGCCCAGTTGTCAATTCTTTGTAGTATTTCTCGTGCAACCAGAGTTTTGTTCATGAAATCTTTGTGGACACCTGTCTGAGTCTTAAAGAGTGCTGCCTATTCTCTCTTCCAGCAGGTTTAGTGTTTCTGTTTTAATATTTAGATCTTCGATCCATTTTTAGCTTAGTTTTGTGCTTGGTGATAGACATTTGTCTTTTTTAGTCTTTGGCATGTGGAAAGCCAGTTTTTCCAGCACCATTTATTAAAGAGGCTGTCTTTTTTCCAGTGAATGTGTTTGGCACCTTTGTCAAGGATAAAGTGGCTGAATGTGTTTGGAGTTGTTTCTGCATCTTCTAATGTATTCCCTTGATCCTCAAATCTGTTTTTTTTTTTTCCAGTACCATGCTGTTTTTATCACAGTAGCTCTGTAGTATAATTTCAAGTCAGGGTTTGCGATGCCCCCTGCCTTGCCTTTGTTGCCAAAAATTGTCTTTGCTATTCTTGGTCTCTTCTGCTTCTAAATGAATTTTAGGAATGTTTTCTCTAGTTCTATGAGGTATGCTAATGGGATAGCATTAGCTATGCTGATTGGGATAGTGTTAAATCTGTATAACAATTTTGGAGGTACGGCTATTTTCCCTCTATTGGTTCTTCCTATCCATAAGCAAGGAATATCTTTCTACTTTCTGATGTCCTCTTCAATTTTTCAATTTGAGACTAAGAAAACAGTACAAAGAATCAATGAGTCAAAGAGTTGGTTCTTTGAAAAATTACATAAA